TATTTATTCATACAGAACTGGGGTACAGGCCAGAGATGCGGAGGGTGAGAGAATTCACCAGAGACAGAGTGGGGAGCAGAACAGGCAGATCGACAAAATTCACTGCTGAGGGGAGCAGCGGGCAGGTCAGGAGAGGTCTGCCTCGCCATGTGGATCTCCTCCAGGGCAGGCGGGGATCGAACTCATGTGGAAGTGGCTTAAGCGTCTTAGTGCTGTGCTTTAACCTGCTGGCCACCAGGGAGGGCCCCATGGGGTTACTCTGATGAGCAATGAGTGGACAAGTCGTTCTCCATGGTCCTGCCCCTGCTCGGCGGTCTGTGATCAGCTGTGACGGGCTATATTGAGTGTTGGGCTTTGACTTTGGTCAAGGTCTCGCTTGGGCCCTGCCTGCGTTTGGTGGTTTCTGTCTCACAGGCGTTTGTAGATGTTTGGATCAGGGTTTTGCTTTTCTCTACCCTGAATTTCACTTTTGTGGTCCTTGACACTCTCCTTCAATTGCATCTCAGTTTTAGGATTCACTGTCCTTGTTTTAAGATCATGTTGCTTGCAGTTCAGATCACAAAGGTTGAAAGAGGAGTTGGTGAGTAGGATAGAGAATCCTGGGCCCAGACAGAGAACAGGAGGTACAAACAGACGGGCAAATCACAGCATTTGGGAATTCTCCCACCTTGATGGGATTTTTGCTTAGCTTACCCGGTAAGGTGGCAACCCCTTTGGATGTTCTTTTTTTTGGGGGGGGGTCCTCTTCCTCTGGTTTCAGTGCTGACTCACAGGGTCACCTGAGCTTAACTGCTCAAATTCAGGCTTCCGTCTTCTGCCCACCTGCCTCCTCCTGTGCTGTGTTTCATTTAGAACAACGCTGCGGTGTTGGCCTCCTTCCTGAGGTAGCGCCATGCTGACGACATGTGCCTCTTGTTTCTGAACTAAGCCCAGAACAGAGCTGTGCGTCTGAGGACAGACGAAACTCAGATCCTAGATATCCGGAGCTGGGAAATTTCTTATTGATGAGCTGTTCTCCCTGTGAAGACTCTAAAACCCGGAGAAGCAAAAATAATAAACTTCAGGTTGCGAGGAGTCCTGGGCAGATGGCCTAAGCAATCTTGTTTTTGATATCTCATCCAATCTC